CCCAATATATCTAGGAGTAAAAACCCAAACAGTTCAACAATAACAAGGGCTAAAGCCCTTGTTCCAGCAAAGAGAAAAGCCAAAAAAGCTTTACTTCAAGAACAATCAAATAAAAAATACAAAATTATAGATTCTCTTAACAAAGAAGTCATGGTTAAAGACTTTTCTGGTCTTCAACACACAGAACCTAAACCAAACTTAAGCATTTTGCTCACAAACACCACTAAAGATACAAAGAAACATGAGTTGACTACTAGCAAGAAAAGTTGGAATGCTATTGTATCTCAAGAAAACTCTTGGCTAAATTCAAACATGTCTTTACAAAAAATAGAACTGGGTAAACAAAACAACAAAGCAATGCACATGTCTAAAAAGGTTCCAGAAAGTTTCACATCATCAAGTCATGTGGAAACACCATCTAAAAGTCCTGAACCTCCTGTGAACCCATATGTACATGTTCTAACTAACGAACTAAGAAAGCCAATCTACCTTTTCAACATTCTCTCCAAGAAGCAAATTAAATCCAAGAACAATAATGCTCTGATTATCAATATTTCAAGAATTCATTGTTCTTTTAATGAAATAATGTCCTCACTTTTTTGAAAATGTTAAAGACAAAGTCATTGCTGCTAAGCAACATTTTAAAAAAGGCACACACTCTCATTTAGAAATTATTTTTGCAAATCAAAACCTACTCAAAGAATATGCTAATAATGGAATGATGATTTTAGGTAAAACCTACTATGGCTACATCCCAATGGATGCTCGCAAATCTTTCTTACCGGTCAAAATTAGAAATGTGCCACTAGGTGACAAAAACCAAATCTCCAATCTTATTCAAGAGGCTTTTGAAGACATAGGCAATATCTCCTCTATCAAACCTCTTCTGAATTACTTAGACTTCAGGATCATTATTGTAATTTTAGAGAAGAAGTTAGAAAAACAGGAGAGGAGAGATCAATAAGCAGCCCACTACAAAAAACCCTGTATTATCTTTGCAGAAAGAACCAACAATAACTGAAGTACAAGAGGAGCTTCTAAAAGAAAACATTCCTGTTTCAAACTTGGAAGAAAACCCCAAGGAGAATGCTAAGAACTCAGCTAATCTTGATATAATGATGATGCACACAGAAGAGGTAACTAAGAAGAATGATAAACCTGATGACAAACTAGAACCTCTCTACATTCAAAAAGAGGTAGAAAATCAACTTTCACTCAATAAAGCTCCAAGAGATGAGCTAACAATAGAGGATTCAGTTTGAACCTTTGCTTTACAAAAGTCTAATACAAGTGAGAAAGAAAATACTTCGCCTAATATAAATGATAAAGGCTTTATCACAGTATCTAATAAGAAGAAAAATAATAGAAAAATCACTAAAAGCAGGTCGAATCAGAATATCATAGGATCTACCTCTTACCAAAAGGGCAAAGGTGGGCGCAGAGCCACCTTACAATAAACAAATCTCATCTTTATTCAATGACAGAAAGCCCAAAAATTTTATAGCTACACTAAATGTAAAAGGGCTAAATGACTGTGAAAAACAACAAAAAACATTAATGTTAATTAAATCATATAAACTGGATATAATTGTAATTCAAGAAACAAATCTTAGTAACCAAAATACCCGCAACCTACTAAAACTACAATGGCCATTTGAATCAATCTGGACTGACAAAACTGCAATACTGGCTGGCTGAAGAGATCTAAAACTTCAGAGCTCTCAAACCTCCCATGAAGGAAGGGTTATTATAGTCAACATCTCATATAAAAAGCATCTCTTCAAGATCACAAATGTCTATGCTCCACCAAACATGAAAGACAGGACAGCCTTCTTTGAAAATTGGATTCTTCCTTTTGACGAAGACAAGATAAACATTATTGCAGGAGATTTTAATACAAATCTAGACCCAACCATAAATAGAATAAGCCAAGCCAATACACAAAATGACCTATCAAGGTTACAATTTAAAAAACTATTAAACAACTTCCTGGACTCTGCATCTCTTTTGGAGAAAAAACCTTTTCTTATGTTCTACCAGAATACAAGAAATAATCAGTCTATGGCTACACATTTAGACTATATTTTTATAGATAAGAACTATGATTTTTTAATCAAGAAAACTAAAACTCTCTATGGAAACTCAGATAATCTGCTAGTCAAATGTACCCTTATCCTAGAAAATGAATTAAAAAAGGCATCCAGTTGGAGATTCAATAAAGACTCTTTTAAAAACAAATTATTGGAAAAAGAAGTCAGTAAAGAAATTAAATCTGTCAACTTGGCATCAGACTGGGACTGGCAAAAAGTTTGCATTCAATCAATTATAAGAGCTTTCAAAAAACTCAAAGCTCCTGAAAGTAAGATAATGACCCTGAATAAAAAATAATCAAACTTAAAGACTTTTTAGCAGCAAACCCCAAACAAACAACTATACAATCAAAAATAAACAATCTTAATATATAGACACAAGAGGAGCTTTCCCAACTAGCAGAGAGATGGCTGACTCGCTCAAAAGCCAATTGGGTCGAACAAGGAGAAAAATCTACCAGATACTTCTTCTCATGTTTCAAAACCTGGAGCAGTAACACTGCTTTGAAAGAAATTAAGATCCAAGCCAATATTCAAAATAAAGAAGATCAAACACTACAATACATAAAAGAAAATATACTAAAATCTACAAAGATGAGGGTATAGACTTAGAAGCAGCTACTTCGATCATGAAAACACTTCCTATGATTTCACAAAGAGATAGTAAGTATGAGAGATACGGTGAATATAGAAGGAAGTAATGTGTACAAATCAGGATATAGTAGTCAAATCCAGGTAGTATATAAGTGGGATATAGAATACTCTAGTAGGTTTAGATCGCAAATAGTAGTTAAGACCTGTCTGACAAGAAAACTCTGAACTTACACAAGCTATTTCAAAAGAAGAAATAACAACCACGATCAGAAATCTCCCAAACAATAAATTCCCAGATATTGATGGGTTAACATATAAATTCTACAAATTAACAGAGGAAAATATAACCCCAATTCTAGAAATCATCTTTAACCAGGTCTTGAACTCTGGAAACTTACCAAATTCCTGGCACAAAAATCTAATTACTCTTATTCTGAAGAAATCCTCATACTTAAGCAACATAAACAACTGGAGACCCATCTCTCTAGTAAACTGTGATACCAAAATCTTCATGAAGATTATTGCATCTAGACTAAATAGAGTTTGCAGTACATTAATTCCATCACATCAACAAGGTTTCATCACAAAAAGATCAATTTCAGATGCTGTACTTGACATTCTTACAACTATGAGAAATCAATCAGATATTTCAAAGCAACACTGGCTACTCCTAGTGGACCAACAAAAAGCTTTTGACCGAGTTAATCACTAATTCTTGCAAATGGTTCTTTCAAAGATAGGCTTCTGTATAAAATTCACAAATCTAATAGAAAACCTCTTTGCAAACCAGATAGCTCATATCTTCGAGAAGGGCTCTCTTTTGGAACTATTCAGAGTTGAAAGAGGAATTCGACAAGGAGACCCCCTTTCTTCTTTATTATATGTTTTAGTATTTGAACTACTAATTCAATTGATAAATAACAGGATCCAGGGAATTCTAGCAAACTACCTCTTCTTTAAAACAGTGGTCTATGCCAATGACCTAACTATAGGAATCAGCTCTCTTTCAGACTGGATAGAAGTTCAGAATTTATTTGACATATATGAAAAAGCCTCAAATGCAAAAGTCAATAAACACAAAACCAAAGTGGTTCCTTTAACCGCACTGGCTAGGAGAGCGAATCTACTGAACATTGACCAATTTGAGATTACAGAAAAACATAACTCTATAACACTTCTAGGCTATGTAGAAAGAATTTATTAACAGACACAATTAACAAACTCAAAGATATATTGAACAATCTAGCTCTTAAAAATCTATCCTTTAAAGAGAAAATTTTGGTTGCAAACTCTCTAGTTCTTTCTCGAATTTGGTACATGGCCTATATTCTACCTCCAAACAAAAAACAAATTGCAGAAATAAATAGTTTAATTACACTTTGGATAAAAGGCAATTCAAGAATGCTTCCTAAATACTCCACTTACCAACAGTCTTATAAACAAGGAGGGCTGCAAGCCCCCATTATAGGCAATCTGCTAAATGCAAGAGCTTTGATGGTCTGGCTCAAACTTCTTGCTGGAAATACATTCTGGGCAAAGGCTGAACAGACAAAAATTGCAAACATATTATATAGACAATGAAACATCTCAATCAGACAAGCTTTAACTAGCTCTTCAATACATAGTAAAGCATGTCCCTCAGAATGGAAACTCTACCTTATTGTATGAAAGAAGGCAAATGGGAAAGTCTTCTCTCATACAAACTGGCCTTGGAGTCTTGAAAACCTCTCTCTAGGGGGAATTAAAGGAGATAAAGTTACAGTTAAAAAGTTAACTGAACTACTCAGAGGGGACTTGACATCTGGTGAAATTAATCAGTCACTGTTCTCAAACTCAGCACTAAACTAGATACTTCTTAAAGGAGTTGATAACAAGAAAAGAGACATCTTTTGGCATCTCACACATAGAGCTTTACCACTAGATTATAGACTTCAACATATCTCTGTCCAGGAATCAGGCTTCTTCCCATGGTGTGAGGATGACTAACAAACAATTGAACACTTTGCAATGGATTGCAGAATCAGCAAGAAGATATGGACGGAAGCTTACAAACTGATCGAAAAACAAGTATCCTATCCTCTTTGGAGGAAATCTTTACTGCAAAAAACTTTGAGGAGCGAAACCACCTTAACACAGCAATATGGATTCACATAATCACAATATCAATAGAAAGGGGGTAGATTTACTTTTTGGCTGAAAAATTTTTTTGGCCTATTAAATAAAGCATAACCAGATATATAATTCTAATTAAATATTAAATTATGCTAGCTTAATAATTTTTTAAGTTTTATATGTAATCTTTATTATCTAGTACTGTATACGGTACTGGTGTGACATGATTTTTACATAGTGAAAAATTAAAAGTCATGTGTATTGTGCAATTGTTTACATCACATGGCATATATAAATAATATTTTAAAAAATTGATCTATATTATTTGTCACTGGTTGTTGTTTTGATCTACAAAAACGTGATTTTCTCAAAATTTATAATCAAATCTAAATGGAGATCTACCTCTTTTCTATTGAAAAGTGCCCATATATGAAATTTGGTGTTGGTACACAAATGCCAAATGGGGCAATGCAGATAATTTAGAAGCATCGATTCCCTCAATCATTAGTGCTTAGAAATTCAAGCTTTAAGTTTAAACTCCCATTTGGGTTTGTAAATAGAAAATTTTGTAAATATCTTAGTAATGTTAATTAATATTTAATACATAAGAATTTAATAAAGAGCACCACATGTGTCCCACATGCTATTTAGGCAATCTGGGATAGTCAAATATATATATATACATATAAACATTTTAGTGCCAAATATGGCCGCTAGATGGTTTAAGGGATAATTTGGATTTAAATCCAAAGCAGAGAATCATAAAATCCAGTTCCAAACTCTAAATAGAAGTTTTTTTAAAAAAAGATAGAATAAGTGGTGTATTTGAGATACATTAGTTCTGTACACCACATTATACATTATGTATATATAGTGAGAATTAAGTTTTTTTGAGTTAACATTTACTAAGTTATAAATTGAAGTATATATTATAAATAGCAAGTGTGTATGCATTTCAAATTTTTAATATACCCAAGGTTTTAAATTGGTAAAATGTACTAAACCTTATTAGAAAGATGTTTTAATATAACCCTGAAGCAAGTAACTTGTTATTATAATACCAGGTTATAATTTTTTAAAATTTAAATTTAAATTTTAAAATTTCAAAAATTTTAAAAATTTTTAAATAAAAGGCTAGGCTGGCAGGTTAATTTTTTTATTCTATGTTATGAAAACCAAAAATAGCCTAAACCTAGTATGTATTTTGTACTTTTGCAATTGAGTTGGTCTTATTGATATCACCTTGACTATTACAAATTGTTCTTAAACCTGCAATGTTTCTATATATCAGGATTGAGTTTGCTGTTGTGCTTGCTAGGTCTGATTTATTTTTGATTATTTTTACTAATAGGCTCTATAATATATCACACTGTTCTCTGAATAGCACACAATACTGTAATCTGT